CTCCAATTTCTTTTTTATCTTTTTTGTATTTTTCTCTCCTCTTTGAGAACAGTTCCTACTCTTTTGAGGCTTACTTCCTGTGTGTTGCAGGATGTGGGGAGGAGGTGGGGCTTGGGGGGTGTGGACTACTGTCATGTGCATGTGTGAGCGAGAGAGAAACAGAGAGAGAGAGAGAGAGAGAAGAGAGGGGAAGAGTAATTCAACCATATGATTTAATACACTCCTCCTTTTGGTTAGAGAGCGACAGAGAGAGGGAGAGTGAGAGTTATTCTTTAGGTCGCGTATACGCTCTCTCGCAGATATGACCAAGACAGCGGCAATAGCAGCAAAGGACTTCTCCAGTATGTGGTTGCCAGGTGAGTGACTGTCTGTGCAGCTCTCTATCGTTGCTGGCCTTCATTTACCAAGACCAATTAAGCTTTGCGTGAGTTAGAGGGACCTGTGTGTGTGTGTGTGTGTGTGTGTGTGTGTGTGTGTGTGTGTGTGTGTGTGTGTGTGTGTGTATGTGTGTGAGAGATTGTGATATGCTGTTGATTAATGCCAGTGGGTCTAACAAGCTCAGCTAATTGGGGAACATCAAAGGGTGAGAGGTGGTACGAGGGATGGAGGGGAGGTGGATGGATGGATGGATGAGTGGACGCCTGTCTCTTGCATAGGCAAAGGTCAGACACTTCACCAGCCCGTAGCATGCCTCTGTTTGTGTGTGTGTGTGTGTGTGTGTGTGTGTGTGTGTGTGTGTGTGTGTGTGTGTGCGTGTTTAAACTGAATATTGAATGCTAAATAACCTTGAGGAAAATGTAATGAAAAGTTTATTTGAAGAGTCTTTTCTAACATTCAGCTAATGAAAGGCGACTCCTGCAGCTCGACTGTGTTTCTGTACTGAGATTACTTTTCATTGTCCATCATCAAAACGCTTTCTCTCCAGTGATGAGCGCCGTTACTTGTGTGTTCACTTTACAGATGTTTTTTCTGATAAAGTGCATCTTTAAAGCTGGAGGATACTTTGTGTTTTTGTGTGTGCGATGGAGCATTGCATTGATTATTGCTCATTTTCAAGTCTGTCAATGAATTCCAAACTCTCTGATTTAAGGACAGTTATGTAAAAAAACCCTTTTTTTTAGCCTCAGCATTTACAAATAATGCGGAGTAGGAATAGTGTAACTCTTCCTACTCTGCGTCTGGGTGGTCCGCTCAGCACAGCCTATGAGAACAGGCAGACAAAGTCTCGGTTGACCGACGACCTACGAGAGATCAGCAAGCAGTTAGCTGACTCACCCGTTACCCGAAATACAATTTCTAAATGTCAATTAGCTCACATTACTCAGTCTTTGTCGTCGAGATAGAATTTCTAAAAAATATATATATATATAAGATCTGTGATGTTCACGGTTTATCAGTGAGTGATTCACGGCACAACATTCACAGAGTCACTCCTTAACCTCATGTGGTCACTGCTGTGACCTCTGGGAAGTTACTCTGACCAAAGTGACATGTCCTTCTCGCAAACTTCAACAAACGGCACATCACGCCAGATTATGTAACGCACAGCTTCACAAAGGTGCACCGGTGTGGAAAGCCAGTGCGGTAAACATTCGTGTATATCGGGAATAATCTTGTACAATTATTTTTGATGTGTCACCTCGTGAGCCGTGTTTAGGTTTTCTGTAAAGTTAATCATTTTTGCTCATTTTAAACATTGAAAGTAAATGAATGAGGGAAATTAAGTGTGGAAATTTGAAAGCACTCAGTTTTATTAATCTGGTCAAAGTACATCATTGTCATCTGTAAAAAAAATTTATTTACACTGTAGAAGTGGGAAAAAATGATTTTATGGGCATTATGTGGTGGTGACCTTTGTCTCTCAGTTCCAGCAGCATTTGGTTACATTCATGTGTTTTATTCACTTGTATGAGGCATTTTTATGTGTTACAAACAAAAAAACACAACAATAGTAACTTAGATTAAACAAACGACCCAAACTGACAAGAGCAGAGACCCTCATGACATGTTATGGTCTTGTTGTGGCATCCCAAATTTGTTCCTTCAGGTTCTCACTGTATTTGTTTTTTCAGCTTGAGTTCTTCTCTTGATTCCTAAATCATCGTTTTATTATTATTATTATTTCTAATATTATTAATATCTGTCCAGCCTCATATTTTATCATTACTATATTAACAATTTAGACACTAACATGTTCTTCCTGCTTGTCTCATCCTGGCACAGATATGCGATTGGTGTTGACATGACTCTTTGACATTCACTTTTAAATGGAAAATGTTTCTTTGCAATCAAATTCGGCAACCCTCAGCACCGCTCGGCTTCTCAAATCTGTAGTTAGTAAGTTTTATGACTCCAGTTCCCAGACACCCCCCTTGGCGCTGGGGTTATGTCCTGAATCAGGAAGTTGGGTGAAGAGTTGGTGGGGAGGGGGGGAAGGGAGGGGGGTTGCAGTGGAGTTTCATCTCGGCCAAAATACCCAGAGGAGAATAACAGAAACAGTCCAGACTGAGCACAGGCACTGTTGTTCCTTGTTCCTTTCTATTGCATCATTTATTCATGACACAGGATTATACAGCATTAAATTTGCTCTGCTGTGGATTCACTCAGTATGGTGAAGCAACTCTGAACTCTACTGTTTAACTCCAAGGGCTGCATATGCTGTAGTGGAGCAACAATGACCGGGCTGAGCAATTAAACCTGTTAGAAGCACTGTCTTATCCCTGCAGTAAATGCAGTTTGCACCACATGTGCAAAAAAAAAAAACAGTCAAGAGATGCGTCCTCCGCTTACACTTTAAACATGTTCAAAGTGTGTAAGTCACCCCAACACGAAATTATTTGTGTTTGTGTGTGCAGCAGTGTGTTGTAAAAGAGAGGGAGGTTTTAAAAGAGTGAAAGAGAGAGTGAGAGAGAGAGAGCAGGCTAATATTAATAGCCTCGCTGACAGTAAGTGTTGGGTTTAGCACTCTGCGCTCAACCCGGTACAAGGGGAAGTCGGGAGGGGAAGTGAGAAAAAGACACTACATCTTGATATACTGTCCCACCACTGTATTACTGACCACATTATCCACCATGCTACTGTCTGTAGACCATTTTTAACCATGAATCAACGCGCACCTTCTCCCCGTGTCCTGCGACGGGGCAGCGCAGTGCGATAGGCAGCACTTTGGGAGCTCTGCATTACTTCGGTTTTATGAGCTGGGCAATCATTTTATATGAGGAGGGGGATTTGGCTTTAGTATTGTACACTCCACGCGCTGAAGATCGCAGTGTAACAGGGCCCAATGTGGAAGAAGTGGAAATTTTACAGTGTGTTATAGATTTTTGCTGTGGGGTACAGTTTGTTACGCGTGGCAAAAATTTGTGATTATTTAGAGGAAGATGTTATTTCTGTGCATATTCGGTGGGTTTTTGTCAGAAGTTGAGCAACACTGGGCAGTTTTGTTTTTTTTTGGTTTCACTAATAGCCACATCACGTAACGCTGAAAGCAGGTGCCAAATGAAATGCTGGAATAACCGCAAACTGACCAGAATAATATATTAACCAGATGTTTGCATCCGCATCGTTGGGTGACCGATTTATCTTCAGCTATTTAAGGGAAATCCTGCAGTCAGTGTGTGTGTGTGTGTATGCACATGCGTGTGTGTGTGTGTGTGTGTATATTTACACAGGGTTATAGCCACTGGCAGCAGAATGGCGCTTTTCAAGCTGATCATCACTTCCCCCTTTCCCTAAAGACACTATGTGTACCAAAGTCCACTGTTCTCACATCTGTTTCACTGAGACGAATGTGTTTCTGCAGCTGAATGAACATCTGATAAGGGAGTGACTCTTGATCGGTATCACTTTTTACGATTAGTGACTGCACTTTACTGATGCTTTGCTAATTTAAAACTGGCCTGGGGTCAGTGTTGGTCAGCAGAGCATCTTCTTCGTGTGTGATTACTGCCCCCTGATGGCGAAAACAATGCTTGACCACTTGCTTGTTGGACATTTTCTATATTTAAGGTGTCATGCTGATAAAAGGCAGAGGGAAGATGTACAGTTTATGTCATGTGCAGCCCGTGAGACTACAGGATGAAGAGAGGAGACATAAAGAGGAGAGGAAGGGGGGAAAGAGTAGAGAGAAAAAGGAGGAGGGAGACTGAGAGTTTATTATGCAGGTGGCAGATATAATTAGTTGGTCGTTGGGCAGATTTGCATGTTTTCACAAAAGGGAAGTAGCGCTGTGTATCTGTGTGTGTTTGTGTGTGCGCATGTTAAGGAGTCAGAGCAGGAGGGAAAAAAAGGGTTTCAAATGGACACAACAGTTTGTGGTTTCAGACAAATAAAAAGGCTTTTATAATAAAATGGTACTGTTGTACTGTAACATAGAAAGAAAACTGCTAGAGAAACACCCACACACACACACGTGTGTGTAGTTATATATAAACACCCGCTCACCCACACTAATTATCTTCAGTCCCATCTTTCCTGTACACCCTGCTACCAAAATGCTCCCGTGTTTTTGTGTAATAAAGTAATTAAAGCCTTTAGCTTATTGTCTCCCTCCATTCATTGCTGTTGCTATAGGGACTGTCCCAATTCAACCAGGAAGTGATGTGGTCTTGTAATGAGTGACACACAGTGTGAGACATTTTTAGTACACCAAGTCTCCCACGTAAACACCTTGAGTTAAATTTAGAACGAGCAGACACCTTGGGTCAACCTACTCTTATGTTAAACCACTAATTGGAAAGAAAGAATGAATGAATGTGGGCTCAGTGAATGATTCAGCTACATTGTGTGGTGTACAGTGTGTAGGCTCAGGCTGTGACCTGAAAACATTTAACCCTAACCTATCTGAGATGAGCGCCCTGGCCGTACTCTTTTCCCTTCTGTCATCTAGATTGTCTCCGCTTGCTTCTTCTGTTATTCTGTCGCTCTCTGCACTTTTTATCTGACACATATTTAGGAGTCAGCCTGTCTGACTTGTTTATCTGCGTGCTTTCCTGTTACAGATATCAGGATGTCAAAGCCAGGAGAGGCTGAAAAAGTCGGGGCTGACTCACCATTGGAGGGCACAGGTAAGCGGCGAGGGTCTGAGAGGCAGACGGCAAACACACACGCACACGTACACGTGATTTAATGCGGAATATATATGTTAAAAAAACCCAAAAAAACAAAAAGAGCAACACATGCATGACTTCGGAAATTGCAGCTGTAAGTTGATGCAGTGATGAAGATGTCATTTATCACTTTTTCCTTTGCCACCCACGCAGATTCAGAGCGGAATGGACCAGAATCAAATCATCAGGTACATGTGACTCCTGTGTATTTACCTTCATCTCCCCCCCCTTCATCTTTTTTCTGATTGATCCACCTAAGAAGAAGATTCAGTGTTGCACACACACTCCAGCACAGAGTCTGACATAAAAAAAAATATTTACTTGCAACATTTTGATAAAAAAGCTCCATCAAACCTGCCTTTCCTTTCTTTTTTTTTTATCTGTTTTCACCAAAAGTCGGTACTTCCAGACAAACTAACCATCACTTCCCCCATCGATTAGTCCCTCAGTTATTTGCAAGTAACATCGCAAGCTAACTTTTCACACAGTCAGGAATCCAGATATCCATTTTTCTTTTAGCAGAGATGGAATATGATGCATTTTGAAGTAATTTCTAAGACTGTGTCTAATTCTTCTCTTCTAGACTCAGTCAATGAAAGCCTGTCCTTTTCCTCTGTCACCAAACCTGAGCAGCACCAAGGTGAGTGTGTGCTTTTGCGTGTGTGTCCACATTACTGAACTGTGTGTGTGTGTGTGTGTGTCTGAGCCTGTGTTTGCGTTTGTGCATCTTTTGTGTCTCAACGTCACACGCTGGGTTTTATTGACGGTACGGCTGCTTCAGCTTTGTGTTCATTTCTATGCACTGAATTACTCTTTTGTCACGCTCGACGTTGAGGTTGATAATGTGTCGACTCTCCACCCAGTCCCCAATGTAAACACGTTTGCAAAGAGCAGAGAGTATGATGGCACTCGTGTTTTTCACAAAGCCTTTTCAGTACTGAAGTAAATCTGAAATATTACTTCTCACCAAAAGGTAAAATCTTCCCTATTTGCATACCACAAGAGATATTCAAATAGGTACGCTGGAAAAGATCCCCTCTGTCTGTCTGAACATGGCTGGGTCTGGGAGGAAAGATCAACTCTTTGAGAAGGATGGGACAGGGGAAAAAAGTCTAGTGGAGTTGTATTTTATCACACAGACTGGGGACACATTTGAAGCATTCGAGGAAATTGCACGCTTTAAGACATTCTAATGATTTATCCTAGTGAGCTATGTGTCTTAAACATGGATAAATTCTTATAGTCTCATGCTCTAGAATTGAGTTAAAGTAGCACTTAATTGGTCCAATATTATCCAAAGATATTTAATATTTTCCTAACTTATGGATATCTGTGACAGGATGGCATTTGCTTGCATAGTCTCGATTGGATAATTACAAACACGTTTATATCAAATCGAGCTTTAATTCTAGCGCTGGCCCTCTAACCGTGTTTCCATTTCTGTATATGCTTTGCTGTTATGTCTTCATCTTAGAATAAGATGGAGGAGTGTGCTGACATGTCCCCAGCCCTCCCTTCCTCTCACGGCCCGACCCCCTCACAGACTGCTCTGCAACACACACAGCTCATGCTGACCGGCTCCCAGTTAGCAGGGGTAAGACTGACTTGTAGTATGCTCACACAGACACGCACTTGGCTTTTGCTTTTGCCTCGCTCGCTCCTCTGGTGGTGCTTTTTGAACACTTTGTTTCCCTCTTTTGTCACCTTTGTGCATTTCCCACTCTTGATTTCTTAATCCTCTCCTCTCCTTGCTTCTCCTCTCTTCTCTCGTCCTTTCCACCAGTTGACAGCTCTGTTGCCGGCGCAGCAGCAGCTGTTGCTGCAGCAGGCTCAAGCGCAGCTCCTGGCTGCAGCTGTGCAGCAGTCCAATGCAGCCCATGCAGCTCACGCTGCCCACGCAGCCGCCCAAGCCAATCAGCAAGCTCAGGCAGCTGCAGCAGCCAATCAGCAAGCCCAGCAGCAGCAGCAACAACAACAACAGCAGCAAGTGGGTCAGTCGGGGCAGCAGACTCAGTCGCAGTCCCAGGGACAGAATACACAGGAGCAGAGCGCCCAAAGCGTCCCTGTCCCACCTCCTCCATCCCAGCTCACCCTCTCCCAGCCAATCCAGCTCACTGCCCAGGTACTGGCTGCCGTTAAAGCCACTTCCTGATGAGCGGCGTGATTGAGGAGCCGCTATCAATCCATGGAGCAGCTCATAATGCATGTCTACTGTAGATTTCGTGATTCACAGTTTCCACCTTGCATGAACGCACACATTTTCCTTTTCTTAACTCTGACGTGACAGAAAAAGTTTTTCCTTTCGCTTCTACGCGTTCTGTTGGTATACATTTCATATACCTCCTTTCCTGAGCTGGAGGAACCGTATATAACATACGAGCACATTTTGATGTGACTAAGCCGTCCTTCTGCTTGTAGAATTGCAAAATGTTATCGTCTGTCTGATGTGTCCGTTCTCTCTCTCTCTACTGGAAAGGACATTCAGCAGCTGCTGCAGCTACAGCAGCTGGTGTTGGTCCCCGGCCACCCGCTCCCGTCTCCTGCCCAGTTCCTCCTTCCACAGGCACAGCAGAGCCAGCAAGGTGGGGAGGCCCTTTATGGCAGAATAACTTATAGATACAGTCATTTAGACACAAATTATACACAGAACTCATATTTTGCTTTTCTTCTTTAGGACTCCTATCGACACCAAATCTTATTCCGCTACCTCAGCAAAACCAAGGGAGCCTGCTCTCTGCTCCGACTAGAATGGGGCTTCAGGCACAGGTACAAGGAAACTTTGAAGCTTTAGTCAGTGGAAAAGAAAAACCCAGCCTCAGCAGCACGAGTCATTAACAAACACTTCTGTTTCTGTCTCACTCTCACTTTCACTCCTCCCGCTGCAGCGAGATAAGGGTGTGGAGGTGAGTGGTGGAGGTGTGACCACGGTGCCTTCCGTGACCTCTCACCCCGAGGACCCCAGTGACCTCGAAGAGCTGGAACAGTTTGCCCGCACTTTCAAACAAAGACGCATCAAACTAGGCTTCACACAGGTAAGTGAGACACCCCTCTACACCAACACTACATGCTTTGGGTTTTTTTTGGTGAATACATTTTAATTTCTTTTGCTTTTAATCTGTCCATCAGGGAGATGTAGGCTTGGCCATGGGGAAGCTGTACGGCAATGACTTCAGCCAGACCACCATCTCCCGCTTCGAAGCCCTCAACCTGAGCTTTAAGAACATGTGCAAGCTGAAGCCACTGCTGGAGAAGTGGCTGAATGATGCAGGTGAGATCACTGCAGTCACACAAACTGGAATATCAGATTGAGATAGAGATGATTCACAGTATTTTCCAAGAACTGCAGATGCACAGAGTAGGTGTTATGACTGTTGTCAGTTGAACGTTAAGCTTGTGTGAACGTGCTGGTGAATTTGCCCTTCAGAGACCATGTCCATAGACAGCACCCTGCCCAGCCCCAGCTCCCTGTCCTCACCCTCTCTGGGCTTCGACGGCGTTCCCTCGCGCCGCAGAAAGAAGAGAACCAGCATCGAGACGAATGTACGTGTGGCCCTGGAGCGCTCTTTCATGACGGTAAGATGAGTCAACTTATTATTACAGTGACTGTCTTTTTTTCTGTATTACACAGGACTCTTTTATCTTTATCCCTTTTATGTTGGTGTTGCTCATAGGTTATACACCAAAAAAAACAAAACAACTAAATGTGGATTTTAAAATATTAAAAAAGTCACCGAAATACTTACTTAATAATACTTAATCTTGCCCCAAATGCAAGATCCACCGAGGCAGACTGATCTGACAGTAGCTGGCTTCGCCCCTCTTAAAGTGTTTTTAAGTACAAATAAAGATGTTTGTGGTTTCCTGTCACCACTGTGTATGGTTTTGTTGTCAGCCTCGCAGCACTTGTAACAAACACATTGACAAATGAAGCCTTCAGCTTCATTAGACACCTGACAGTAAAGTAATTTGTGTACACAGCCTTTTATTTTCTGTAATTTTCAGATTTTCATTCTTTGTGGTTGTGAAAATTCTTCACATCTTGCCGTTGTTAATATTTTCCATCATGCCGCCTTCTGCAGAACCAGAAGCCTACCTCAGAGGAGATCCTGCTGATCGCCGAGCAACTCAACATGGAGAAGGAGGTGATCCGGGTCTGGTTCTGCAACCGCAGGCAAAAAGAGAAGCGCATCAACCCGAGCAGTGCCACTCCTCCTCTGCCCAACCAGCCCCCCACAGCCCCACCAGCGCACAAGCCACCCTGCTACAGCCCTCACATGGTACGCCTAGTCGAACGCATTGCAGCAACTTTCCCAAAAGTATTTTTATCGAAGTCGTCGGTAATAAACTCGCCGCTGTCCTCTTTTTCCTCTCTGACAGATGTCCAGCCAGATGTCACAGGCCGTGACGAGTCTCAGCAGCACATCGGTGACCACCATGTCCTCCGTCTGCCCTCTGACTTCCAGCCTCACCTCCACCCACCCCTCTCTCAGCTTAACCCACACCCCACTCAGCTCCACTCCCTCCCCGGCAACTCCACCTCCTCCACCTATTCCTCCCCGCAGCACAGCCAGCCCGGCCACCCCCAGCCACAGCACACTCAACCTTAACACAGGGTAAGAGGCCACGAGGCCTTCACAGCAAAGCACCTCAGAGCACCTCTTACCACCGCAGCTTTCACCCAAATAAACGCAGGTTTGACGATAGTGACAGAGAGACATATGTGGCGTAGCTGTTGTTCTGTCTTTGACAGATTTGATACCTCTCTGAGTTTGACGACTGACTGCTGTGGATCCTGAACGTGGAGCGTCATCTCTGGTGCTAGCAGTGTTGGAAAATTAAAAGCAGCAATTCAGTGCAGAAAAAGAAACGTTCCAGTTTTTATTGGCAACACCCGTTTTGTGCTTGTGAAGAAAATAAACTTTGCAAACAGGAAATATAATATTTTGGACATAACTCAATTCAAAGTTGTGACAAGCACATTTAAAAAAGATTAATTCGCCTCCACTGTCAGCAGAAGTATCAGAAAATATACATCAAAAAATATGTGTAGGAAAAAAAGGGGAACTGCTGTGCTCCTTTTTAGCTCCATATCCCTCTAGACTAGCTCTGCATAATAATTCATAATAAGCCTGAATTATCTTATACCAGCTCCCTGTGCAGCTCCTCAGTTTATCTCCCTTTAGGCCAGTTTTCTTCTGATTGCCTCTCATAAACAAAATAGTTAAACAGAAAGTGAATAGGGCTGATGAGCCTGAGATGATTAGGTTAAGTATATTGTGCTCACTGACGCTATGTGGAGTCATAAGTAGACAAAAAAGAAGGTCTTAGACTGAAAATTTAGAGCCACCTGAAGCCTAAATATTTATCTCACACGGATTACGTTTACATATACTTGTATCATTAACCCGAATACTAATTAGTCATTTAATATGAGTAATATTATGAAATGCAAAGGATTAATATTTAAAATCAATCTATGTGCGTGGTTGAACATTAACCTTACCCACCAGCAACATGAAGTCAGAGGTGAATCATCGGTTTTAATCATTTATCTTGATCTGCAGTCTGAAAACACAACTGCATACGGCCACACATTTCCACAAACGCTGCTCACAATCAATACTGCACTGCTCCACGCTCGGTTCAGCTGCAATTTGTAGTTAAATGCTTTTTACTGTACACACAAACACACAAACAGTGACTGAGCACATAAGCATTAACTGATATCCCAGCATGCCGCTGGATGCCACTGCTTCCCCTGTGCAGCAGTGCATGCTAACTCTGTGTGTGTGTGTGTGTGTGTGTGTGTGTGTGTGTGTGTGTGTGTGTGTGTGTGTGTGTGTGTGTGTGTGTGTGTGTGATTTTTGTGTTCACAGCTTATGGCGAATGGGTAAAAAGAATGGTGACGTGTCTAACTACATCACCGATTTTGCTGCAAACCTGAGGTGAATACGACTGAAGCACACACACACACACACACACACATTACACACTTTAGACAGTTCAGATGTGTTTCTTCATTATTTCATGTGAATTCTGTGTTAAGATGAATAATACTTCATTAGGTTGCTCTGTTTCTTTCTGCATTTCGAACCTCGTTTGCATTTGTGCAGCCAACAGTCAGCAAACTTCTGCTCTTTATACGTGCTGAGATGAATTTGCCTTCTGCCTGTCCTTGCCACTAAACCTGCTTTTTCCTCCCCTCCCTCACCTTTTCTCCTCTGCCTGTCTCTGTTTGTGTGTCTGCTTGCACATGTGTCGTGCTTGGTGCGTGTGTGCGCGCGCGTGTCACAACAGGAACACTGTGATGGGAGTTAACACAGGGATGAATCAAGCCCTCCTCGGTAACAATCCCCTGGCCACTATCCAAGGTGTGTGTGTGTGTGTGTGTGTGAGAGAGAGAGAGAGAGAGAGAGACATTGAAAGGAAAATAGGAGAGAGAATAACAAAAAAGAGGAACAAAGCCTGCCTTCAGCCCCTCTCATAAACAGAATAAAATTAAAAGGTCAAAGCTGAGGTGGAGGTGAGGTGGTGTGCAGTATTATTTCATTTCTTGAGCAGTCTCAGGGTCAGAGAATACATAAAAAGACCCAACTTCAGCAGAAAGGCGGTGCATCTTCCTCCTCTAAAACTGTTAGAGAAGTCATCCTCTCAAACACACCTACACACATAAATGTTAAAACTCAAATGCACACTCTTCAGGACCCCTACATAAACCTTCCTACACTCAAGAACAAGACAAAAATAGCCACAAAAAAACTTTTGTGTCCCACAAGAGTGACCAGGGAAGAGTCCCAGCTAACGTCAGTTTAGCAGAGCTAGTTTTTAACCTCGCTTTGTGGGGTGACAGCGTGAAGGGGGAGGGAGCTGCAGTAAAAAGAGAAGTGTGAGGATGAGTAATACAGTTAATACATGGTGGGTGAATCAGGTCGCACACGCTGATTACCGACTGGAGACACGGATGAATGGGCAAACAAGTGTGTTCATCCACAGTTGAGAGAGCTGCAGAGAAGAGGAATAAACTTATTTGTCATACATTATCATCTACATGCATGAACCCATCCCATCAAGTGTCTGTGTGTAAGTGACGGTGGTGGTTTACGTTAATGTGTGGGCTTGTTTCTGTCTTCATGCTGTCTCACGCATCCTTTTCATCTTTTTATCTAATCATCAAAAATATGTTGAGAGTTTGAGGGAAAACCTCAGAAGAAATCTTTTCGAGGCAGTCTGTTTGGGAAGTTCGTCATAAGTCATCTTTCAGTTTAGGTGAAGTTCTTTTTATATCGGTAATTCAAATAGCAGGCAGAGGACTTATGGATTGTTGTCAGAGTATCTAAAGTCAACAGGGGATTTTAATCTTAAAACATCACTGAAAACCAAACGTTATCACCGAAAAGCTAAAAAACCACCATAATTTGTTCTTAACAGGCTGTAAATCAGTCAACACATAAGACATTCTCCACTTTAGAGCTGTCTGGTAGCCAAATACTTCTGTTAAAGTGCCCATGTTATACTTTTAGTCTTCCTCTTTCCTTTAAAGGGGGCCGATTATGTTTATTTCCCCTTGCTTTTATTCTCGGACTCCACTTGAGTAGCTTTGCATAATTCACAGTTAAAAATAATCAGCATAAATCAGCATAAATGTACCTTATTTTGGCCCTCAGTGCAGCCCTACTGTTCACCCACCGTCTTGGAAAAAGCGGTTTTATTACCTTTCCCTTTAAGGCCACACATTTCTCTTGGAGCGTTTGCGGTAAACAACACAAAGCCAAGATGATAATATTAAATATAACTGCTCTCGATGATCATACAGAGCCAACGGTGGGAATAAACCTTCTTATCAATGTTCCAAGTAAATATATTTCTAAAGGTGCTATTGGCATGAAATTCTCACCAGATGTCAGTAACAACCCATCTAGTCCACACATGCCAAAAAACACAGATGTCCATAAGTTATGTGTAGTGATGGTAAATGACACAGGGTAACAGTATTACTGAAATGTATTTAATACTTTGTACAAAAGGCTTTATTGGCAATGACAGCCTAAAAACGCCTCATGTATGGAGAAACTAGTTGTGTGCATTGCTCAGGTGTGATTTTGGCCCGTTCTTCCACACAAACAGTCTCTGAGCTTTAGTCATTTCATAGATTTTCAGTGGCTTTCAGATGATTGGTCTCCATGTTATTCAGCAAACCCTAAATCATCTTCAGCATGCTTTTTCTTCAGCAATGAAGTCCTGTGTGGCACCTGCTGATTCAAGGTCCTTGGCTCTTGGATAACTCTTCTGATAATTCTTTTCACTCCAAAAGATGCTCGCAGGTAGCTTGAGTAGATTAGAATTTCTTCTGTAATGCCATCACTATGTCTGCAACAATAAAGTTGTGAAGGGCTTGAAGGTGCTCATTAGTTTTACCCATCATGAGATGTTTATTGTACGAGATCTTTTTATAGGCCACCAGCTGGTACTAAACTAGATTACTTTCTAATTACAGATGGATTTTAGTTGGTTAGATGGGTTGTTAGTGACATCTGGTGATAATTTCATGTCAGCAGCACCTTTAGAAATGTATTTACATAGAACATTGACAGAATGTAGAATAGATAGATAGATCTAGCATATGAGACACGGTGACTTGATTTTACTTTCTCGCTCAGCTGCTTCTGCAACTCTAAAATGTTTCATATGCAGGGGCGAAGAACTGAACTTTTATTACTTACTCCATTACCTTTTTTGAAACCACAATAGAAGAAGATGGCAGTGAGACCTGCTATGATGTACAGAGACGGTGACACAAAAAAACAGGAGGCAGAGCTGAAGATACTCAGATATTTATTGGGAGTGATGGAGATGTAGTCCGAGAGGCAAGGCTGAGATGGTTTGCAGAGGAGGGATAGTGAATATATTTGAAAAGGGATGTTGGAGATGGAGCTGCCAGGTAGGAGAAAAAAGGGAAGACCACAGAGAAGTATGAATGTAATGAAGGCGGAGATGCAGAGGGCTGGTGTGACAGAGGAGGATGCTAATGACAGGATGAGGTTGGGGCAGATGATCCACTGTGGCGACCCCTAATGGAAAGAAGAAGATGATGCTACAGCAATAGACAAATCACAATATAATTACTAACAGGGCTAATGCTACAGTCTTTCTGCTTCTCTTTTGCTCTTTACTGCGTAACTCTAAGAGAAGGCCGTATTTACAAATGTTTCTTTTCCCAAAGAACAAACATTAGAAGTTGTACAGGCAGTTAATGCTTCCATCGAAGCTGCAGGTTTTGCCACAGTGTCGTGAAATTAATACATTTGTTTGGCATCCAAGCCCAGCCTCAGGGGGTCACCTGCTAGTTCACTCCTCCTTGTCCTACTCCTACAATCCCAAGCACAGATAAATGGGAGAGTTGAGTCAGGAAGGGCTTCGGATCTGTGCCCGATCAACTAAGTGGGTCCCTCTGCTGTGGTGACCCACTGGGAATAAAGGAGCAATCAAAAAGGCATCCTTGGTTTTGCTGTATAGTACACAATCGACCGCAGATCTTTGGTTTTGTTTTTGTGTGAGGTCTATTAGACAGCTATGCTATTTATGTACGTAACCAACGCTGCCTCACTGTCGAGAGAGCAGGGTGAAAATAGGCAGCATGAAATTATAAAAGCATGCAAACCTATTTCAGTAAATCCGCAAAATAAAATAAGCCTGCAGATGTGCGTAAAATGAGCACTTTAAAAAAAAAGTGTTCCTTATGCTAAACAGTCATAAACATGAGTGTAATTAAAATTCAGCTCTCTATCTTTGGTACAGTCTGTGCATGAAACAGCCAATCACAGATCTCCGATCAGCTAAACTGATGCAAACCTGATCCCCTAAGATTAGCTCGCTGAAGATATTTCACAATGTTCGATTATTTTTAACAAGTTGTTACATCTCTTGCCAGTGTGTTGAAATGGGGACTGACATTAGGTTTTTTTGGAAAGAAGAATTTCCCACTTTTTTCTAACACAGGGTAGGATCTGTGCTGCAGGAAGTCATTTAGTTCAGCAGTGGAAGGTGAAGAAGCCTGAGAGAAGGACCACTGTTACTAAACTAAAGATGATGAATCCCCAAAAGAAATAAGAAAAAAAGACAAATACTAAAAGCCAAAACTTAATATAGTATTGATTTTATATTCTGATATACTGTGAAAGTGTCCTCTGGCCACGGTGGGCAATTTTATTAACCTTTTTTCTCTCTCTGCCTCAGCCCTAGCAGCCAGTGGTGGCCACCTACCTCTTTCCACTCTTGAGGGTGGGAGCAAGGTGATGCTGGGGGCATCCGGGGGTCAAGGTGGGGGCATCCCCTCCTCCCTCTTCCTCAACCACCCCGCCCTCCTCCACATTGGCCAGAATCCCAACGCCGGACTGGTCAGCACCACCGTAGCCAAAGTCTCCCAGTCCTCGCCCTTCCCCTCGGCCAGCAGTATCAGCCCCACACCCTGCTCCCCCTCTCCCTGCTCCAGCCCCGCCTCTTCCTGCTCCTCCAGCGAAATGGCACACAGCCCGCCCTCTCTGGGCGGGGCCAAGATCGAGTGACCCCCTCCAAGGGCCAATCAGAGAGGAGGAGGAAGGAGGATACTATAACCTCGCCTTTCACACCAAAGCTATCTCTTTCTCTCTCTTGTGCTCTTCTTTCGTTATTTTTCTTTTCCTCAATGGCTCTCTCTCTCCTTCTCTCCCAGTCTTTCGATGCCAAAAATACACAGAATGAAAGAGGAGAGATGGAGGGAAAGAGGTGAAAGAGGGGAGAAGGGAGAGAAAGGAGAAGATTGAAACCAAAAATCTTTATCTATCCAAAAAAAAACCCAAACAAAGATGGAAAGGAGGCAACGTGGGACCTTTTTGTCAAGAACACGTGATGTCGACACGGCACCTCTCCACTCTTTCTCTTTGAAGGAAAGCAAACCGATGACTCTTTAACAAAGAGATGGTAGAGGTGCTCGTCGAAGTGCATAAACCAAAAATGACAAAAGAAAAACTTTACTATATGACAAAGGAATGGCGCAAGGACAAAAAAAATGAAGAAGAGGAGGACTTTGCTTTCTTTTTTTTATTGTTGTTATTATTAATAAGAAAAGCTGCGGGTCTGAAGGAAGAGGAGTGGGGTGGATACGTTTAAACCAAAAATTTACCTGAGGAGGAGGCGGAGGAGGAATACACAATGACAAAAAACAAAAAAAATCCCAAAAAATCGACAACCATACCAAAATCACAAATACCAAAAACCAAAAATACGGAGAGAAAAGCTTTATTCAAAGGACGTGTAAATACTGAAGCTATCCAGGACCAGGACTCTACTGCTACTTTCACACAACATACATACACACGCACACATGCACACACACGCCCATCCATTCTGCATCGACTCATCATGTCTGCGTCTGCTCATGTGTTTCCTATAGGTTTGCATGTTGGATTACTTTGAATGATTTTCTAACATCTGCTGTGTAAAAGCTCATATACGATTGTATGATATGTTTCTCAGCCCTGCTCTATCTTCATGTGTGTTTAAGTCTCTTTACCTACCTCTGGTCGCAAGAGCATAGGATAGTTTGACTTTAACTTCATAGCAGGCCTGACATGTTTTACACTTTGAGAAGATTTTTTTCTTTTCTTTTTTTTTGTTAACTATTTATTAGTGCCATTATGAACGGTTTAGCTGGTATTTATTTTGTATGCTGTTGTAGTGTTAGCTTTGGAGTGTGAGTCATTGTCATCGTCATCTTCAGGGTTTCCGCCAGAACAGAGAACAAAAAGCTGTCGGGTCCAGCTGGGGATTTAAGGTGGCACTCGGTTAAAGGTGGCGCTCAATGGCTCCTCGCCCGCCGTCATGCACGGCCTACTGGCAGGACAGCAGGACTGTGTAGGTGCGGCTTTTGCTATTTCTGTGCCGATGGTGAGAAAACAGGAGAAAGGGAGGCACAGTGCGTTTCTCTCTCCTCTTAACATGAAGATAAAATAATGTAGGCTATACCAGCAGGAGAGCGCGGTTAACCTTGTTTACATAACCCAAAAACAAAAAAAGATCCCAGCCAACAGCTTTAGTCTTTAAATAAGTAAAGTAAAAACTTGCCCCTCAGTTTGGACCCAGAGATCCCGTGAGGGGCTTGCAATACGCTGACGGAAACCCTGATCTTGATCTTCATCGTGGACGTGTCTGTCTTCGTGGCATCTTGTTTTTAATGTGAACCTTCTCTGCAGGAACATACGTTACAGTGATAATAAAACCCTCATCTCAGCCCTCACCAAGTGCCAATAGTTCAAAGATAAAGAGTTGGCACATTGAGTTGATTTCAAAGAGTGAATGAATTTTTTTTTTTTTTTTTTTTTCTTATCAAGACCTAAACATTTTCTGTTGTGCTTAATCAGACCCGTTCTTTGCTCGGTCTTAAAGATAACCCATTATCGGTGACTCCACGGCTTAAATGAACACGCCCTGCTAAACTTCACACTCTGAAAATGATGTTTGTAAAGAGTGGTGACCGTTTGGAAAGTATGAAATGGGGCTGTGATTGGAGATTTGCAGGAATCACCGTTTGAGATTGAAGGCTAAACAAGTCAATAAAGCCAAGTTTAGTCACAGCTGGCTCTCGTTCCTGCCTCGTCAATCAGCGTAGACGTCCTGACACCTGTATGTCTAGACATGTTTACTGATATTTGTCTGTTTCCATCATCACCCCATCAATCATTTCATTTTCCACCTCAGACTGCCATTAATTCTCAAATGGAAACCAAAGCATTTTTTCAAGGCTGGGCTTTTCTATAAGAGCCGCAGCCAAGACACATGAACACAATACAGAGACAGAGGTGGAGATGAGGGGGGCGGGGGGAGCTGAGAACAGGAGGGTAACACTGGAAGAAGCCCCCACTCCCCTCTGCTGTAATCCCCTCCACCCGGCCCGTCCAAGAAACCCAACTCGGGAAGGGGGGGGTTTCTTTATTTATACGGGACTGATCCTTTACTACAACAAAGAAGGGTCACGCTGGGACACGCTGTAGTGAGGAGGGAGCAGGTGTTACATGTTTTTTTGTTGTTTTTGCTTTTTTTTTTTTAAAGAGGATACCAAAAATAAACCCAAACCAAATAAAAACCAAACAAACCCAAAACCCAAGGAGCGACAGAAGCAAACCAAAAAGAACCCAAACCAAATGTGGCTGGAGGGAGGAGGACGGGAGGAGGACACGGTGCAGGAGATGAAACAAACGAAGCATCGCTGTGTGTCTGTCTGTAAGCGTCAGGGCTGCAGTGCCAGCCTGTCTGAAACTGTGTAGCATGGATGGAGGCGACTTAGAGGAGCAACAGACGGCTCCTCCCCTCCTCTGCCCCCCCCTCTCCAGCTCAGCTCTCTGGTCCTGGATGGAGCTAAACGCAAATGACCTCACTGAACTGAAATCTTATTTAAAAGGAAAAAAAAATCTGTTTTTATTTTTCTGTTGGTTGGTTCCGATTGTTTTATCTTTGCTGTGTCTCTTGATGCCGTTTTATGTACTGTACTTTAGTGCTTATTATTACTTATTTGGGATAACGTACTCGCTTACTTACTACAAGAGCTATTTTTTTTGTAGTCGTGCTAGAGATTTTTATCAGGTGGTTGGAAAAAAATACTGTGAAAATTTAGCTTCCAGATTTTTATTAGATAAAGAAACGGACTGTCTCGGCAGAAAAAAAAACTGAAGACGAACACAATAAGCCAAAAACGAAAAGAGTTGAATAGCAAACCTTAAAAAAAATTAAAAAATGCCAAACCAAATGAACCAAACCAAAAACACAAAGCGGGCAGGGACAGATACCGCCTTTTCTGCACAAGGGTGGAGAAATGTGTTGGTCTCAGTTAGTCTGAGTGTGTTTTTCTGTATTTAAGCGGTGAGAAAAATAAAAGGTTAGCAGTGATCTCTTGTCACTAATCCCGAAACCCAAAGACAGCAGCGTGAAACGCGCTCACAGATACAGAACAACACACACAGCGAAGGCCTCGGTTAAGGTGATGTGTTGCAAGTTGGACGCAAACGTATCCAAAGAATATTTGGTTTGATGCGCACCGGAAAAAGACAGTCGACACACGAGAATCGTTTCACAAACCAAGCTTTAGATGTGGGGAGAAGGGGCGTGGTCGCACCTTAAAGGTGAATCCTTTTCTCCACGTTGACTCTTAGACGGAATGTACCTGTTAGTGCTTCTATAGATTTTGTAGAAAAAAAAGATCTATGTTCTACTGCTTACTTATCGCTAATGTATTAAAAAGAAAAAATGCTTACAAAAAAGACTTTGAGGAAAAAAAAGATCCTTAAAAAACATTGATGATAATAACTTGATTTTAGACCAAAAATTTAAACTATCTCTCTTTGGATTTTTCTTTCTCCTTGTTAATCATGATTTAGACTTTTGATTGTACTATTTATTCAGGGTAGAGTTGGTTTGTTTGCTTGTCTTTATCTTTGCTATTTATTTGGTAATTTATTCCTATAGTTGTTTTTTCATTTTCCTATTTTGGGGATGTATTTGTCATGTTTTTCTTTTCAACCCCTTTCTGAGGTTCTTTCTTCTGTCTTCAAACCAAATAATACCAGAAATGCAAACGCAGGTTCTGTTAGGGGGGGCTTATATGAAGATATTCCCTTCCTTTCCTCATCGAGACGACTTTCCTCTTAAAGGGGAAGGGAAGCACGCAGCGGTGAGAGGTAGCACTGTGCGGACCGACGCTTCATGATTTGCAGGGGCACAGGTTTTGTGGACGTACATCCTGCTTTGTGTCTGGGCGTAATTAAAAGAAAAAGTCGGTCTAAAATCCAGCGTCGGTGCAGGGAAAGGATAAATATGATTTGCAGCATGAAGTGTTCTTTGAGGCACAATGCTGCCTCTGTTCTCTATCTTTTCTCCACAGGGAGAACACACAAAGCTTTACAGCTACACAACCAAAAACACAAAAGAAGAAGATCAACTAGGGCCAAGGCTTCGCTGTTTTTTACATGATAGAGAGGAAAGAAGGAGGCAAAGGAGAAAGAGGGTGATTTTGAATTCCCAGCTGTAAATTGCCTTCTAACGTCTCACTTTGTCTCCGTTTCTGTTTTTTCTTTCCGTTTCCACTTTTTGTGTAAGGTGCTTTTGCCTTCTTTTTAAATTTCCTCCATCCACTGTAGGATGTAAAAGAGAGATAGTTCATCATATACCTCATATTCTTTGATGATAAACCAAATAGATGAATGCTTTAAATCGCGGGGCTCCAGTGGGTATTGGGGTATGGGGACGTGTGGACTGTGTGCTTGTACTGACTGGAAGCGGCACGGTGAGGTCAAAGGTCAATATTCTTTATGGACAAAAGGTTTGGGAACAATTTGGGGGGGACCAAATCCTTGGATTGATTGTAGTTTTGGTGCAGTTTAGGGTTAAAAGGCCCCACTGGTTTACGCTCCGGTCTACACACACACACACACACACACACACACACACACATACATGCCTTGTCCCCCTGAAAACCACCCCCGCTGTCTGTGTTGAACTTTGAACACAGCCCTCTCCTCACATCCTACCCTCACTGCTGCCTCCCTGTCAAACATGCACTGTGGGCTTAAAGCTGCTCTTCTGACATCAAATCTGGATCTGTTATAGACTTTATAAAGCTTCCAGGTTTGTGCCTCGGAGCAACTTTAGCCCT